TTACTGTAATTAGAATTAGCATTTATGGGAAAATTAACTCCCCTGATTTCTAAGACAGATTTCCCTTTCAAATTCTGCCTTCTGTATTCTATAAATACTGCTATGTAATTCTCATAAAACACAAGGAAATATAAAGTATATTTCTACAGGTACTTCTAAAATGGTGAAGTACCAGTACCGGGTACTCGATACTTGTACTGAACTTGCGGTACTTCATTTTTTCTCATTATTCGGTTTTGAATGAAATTTGTGATTTTATCAAATATCAATATAGTAAATTAATGTGTTTTAATTTTTTTGTTATTTTATCTTAACTTTATTTTCTTTTTTTTCAATTTTTTATAGTAGTGTTTTGTTATGAACCTAACAATTTAGTTTTCTACGGATACATTTTATCGAAAATTCTTGTTTCTTATTAATGTACTACCTTGATTTCTTTTAAAATGTTGTATCCCGTACCATTGTACCTATGCATCATAGCTTAAAACCTGAGCTTTCTAGGCTATAGAACAAAAAGAGTTGAGACTCAAGGAATGGTTGCTCTAGTTTCTTAGTGAGTGGAAGTGAGTTTGAGGGAGACTATTGCTCTTGATCAGAAGTATTATAGCTTGAAGTGCATAACTCTCACCTTTCTTCTTCACATTAGGAGGTCAAATTTCCTATAATAACTTTTTGTCTAGCTTCTTCCCTTCTCACTTCTAAGAAAGACTAGTTTATTTTCTTCATATAGTCCTTGTGCACATAACTTGAAAATTAAGATTGCAGATGGCTCACTTTCCGCCATGACAGAGAAAGTTTCCGTTGTTCTTTCTTCATTATTAACCCTTCAGATTGCCTTGCCTGTTCCTAACTTGTCATATACGGATAATAAACTAGTCCAAAAAAAAAGTGCCAAGCCCATTTCTTGGATATTCATTGTGGGTTTTAAGATTTGACCTCGAAGAAGATGATTTTCAGTGCTAAGCAGAATGGAAGATTCTACCAATCCTACCAATCCTGCCAAAACCTGAAGGTGGGCCTAGAACTAGACACCAATCCTGCCAAATAATTTCATTCTCTGAATCTTGTCATAAAAAGAGGATGATGTAATGTTGTGGCATTTAAGGTTATAGATCATCAGAGGTTTAAACATCTAAGACATTTGTTTCCAAAATTATTTGTTGATCAAGATTTTTCTTCTTTTCAATGTGAGATTTCCAAATTTGTTAATACATTACTGAAAATTACTTTCCTATGCAAACGTAAGAACCTTCAAAACCTTTTTTTTTTGTTTTGTTATTTATAGGGATGTTTGGGAGCCTAATAGGATAAGTTCTCTATCCAAAAAGACGTTTATCATTTTTCTTTATGATCATTCTAGACTCTGTTGGGTATATTAAAAGAATATTTTAAGTTGTGACAAATTGTAAAAATAAAAAATTCTTTAAATTGGTGAAGACATAGTTTAATTCCCAATATTCAGGTTTTCAGATTGGAGATGCGGTACTGGAGCAAAGAACTATATGCTGCTATCTAAGCTACTCTTTCTAAGCTCGAGTAACTGGCTTTTCTTGTAACAATAAAATTTGTAATAGTAACATATCTCTAGCAGGAAGTCGGAATTTAAGACATGCAAGAGACATAACACAAGGAACACGCGTGACAACATTAAACATGTATTCCAACGTGTCACAAAGTTACCCAAGGTATTCCTTCTTTCTAGATAAAAAAAAATGTTACTATTTTACATGTGCACAAATCCACAATTAAAACTTGGTTATTGGTGAGAATGGCACATAACCACTACTTATCAATTATGTTAATTAAGCCCCTAGAATCTAAAAAAAAAAGTATTCAATAGTTATGTTTATTCATTATGTTATTTGTTATCAACTTATCATCATCATTGAAATATCATCTAACCATCATTCTATTTTGTTCTTTTAGTAAAAACTTAAATGATGAGTCCAAGCTTTTGAGTTTGACATTAATTTTGGTAAAACTAACTTGACAGCTAGATGTTGGACAAGATGTCCTAACATGAAGATCAAGGTGTTGAACAAGATGTCATATGTAATGATTCGACATCTTTGTCGATTACTTTTCTGTTTTAATTCTGTTAGTTATTTTAATTCCAAATTTCAGATTATTCTGGGATTATTTGTTTTTTCTAGGTGGCATTCAAATTTGAGAAATTAGAGATTTTGATTATAATTTGAAGATACCGTTTCAAAGTGTTAAAACATTTTAGGATACTTTAGATTGAAGAAACTATTCTTGAGAAGAATAAGTTGCAGATTCTGTGTAACAAAATTGCTGCGTTTTTGAAGTCTAAATCCAGTCTAATTTATGGTTATAAATAGGATGGATTTAACCTAAGAAGGGCGTGGGAAAATACTTTGTTACTTAGTGTGTTTAGGGTTTGTATTTTGTGAGTCTCTCTTGTGTCGTGTTAACACTTGAGCTGGACTGTTTACATTGAGTTGTAATTTCTGTCACTGCTGTGATTAAAAGGGAATCGAGAAGGGTCTCATACCTAGGAGAATCTTAGGTAGAAATTAAGCATGAGTAGTGATTAAGTGATAAGTTGTAAACCGGAGGTTGTTTAGCTTAGAATTAATACTATCTAGTGGATTTCATTCCTGGCTTGGTAGCCCTCAGACGTGGGTGTTGTTGTTCACCAAACTGAGTTAACATTTACTGTGTGTTTGTTTACTTTTTGCAATTTGTATCCTGTTTCTTATTGTCATTGTGTTTGAAGCAGAGATCAAGTGTCTCGACATCTCTCAAGACATCTAAAATCTGCTACCAGAATTTCAATTGGTATCAGAGCAGGTATCCTGCTCGACATCTAGGTGAGATTCAGGGAAGTTACTTTCTGGTACAATGGACATAGAAGTAGGAATATTGAATAGACCACCAATTCTTGATGGATCCAATTATGAATATTGGAAAGTGCGCATGGTGGTCTATATCAAGTCTATGGATGGTAAAGTTTGGAAGTTTGCGGTCAAAGGATGGGATCCACCAAAAGTTAAAGCACCTAGACACCATCTCTGACCTAAAGGAGGAAGTTGTATTGCTCAACTCCAAACTTGACATTATGACCAAAACTGTTAGAACGCTCAACAGCAGTTCCGATGTGCCGGATGAGATTCTTCAATTTTGGAGGAATACTGGAGATATCATAGGACTTGGTTACAATGACCAAGGTGTGATGAATAAAAGAAAAGAGTCAGCATTGAGATCTACTCAGTCTAAAAGAAAGCAGAATCAGAAGATGTCAAAAGGGATGTCCCAACATCAACACAGACATCAGAAAAATTCTTCAGGGAGCAAGAAGTAGGACTGGAAATGTCATCATTGTGGTAAGTATGGTCACATTAAACTTTACTGCTACAAGTTACATGGCTATCCCAAATCTTCTTCACCACTCAGAAAGATGCAGGCTGGTAAAGCTGAAAAGAAGTGGATTTCCAAGAATGACTTTGTGGCTCTCATAGCTCATACCTCTCTAAGAGCCTTTGCTGGAGAGAGATGGTACTTTGATAGTGGTTGTTCTAGACATGGTAGTTAAAATCGCAAGCCTACTAGTAGGATCGTACGATTTTGCGATCTTACAATCCCAATCGTGTCGGAGAATGACCAGAATCGCTTTTTGGTAGACGCGGCCGGAATTGCCGCTATAACACATAAAAACGATGGAATCGTCGTTTTTGGGAAGAAGCACTATTTCTGTTTAAAGCCCCCAGGAATTCGGGTTCTCCATTCGGTTCAAAAAAAACCTAAAAAGAAGCTTTTTTTTTCTGATTGAAATTTGAAAAGTTTCTTTTCTCTTTCTCATTTAAATTGTTTCTGCCTAATAAAATGAGTAATCAATACCCACTACCCAATAATCAATGATTTATACATCTTCCCTATATACATCCATGATTATTGTAACTTCTCAAAAAATACAGCTATTCATTCCACTTTCTCACGTTAAACATCTCTCATGTTAAATACAGCATTTATCTGATATTCATTATTCCAATCTCTATCTTCTATCTCACTTAAAAAAATCATTTAATTTTTTATTTTTTCTCTCACGATAAAAAACAATGAATCTTATCCTCTTAAATTCCAGTTAAGTAATTTTAGTTATATTTTAGTAAAAAAAAAAAAAGTATTTCTAGTTATATTTTTGTGAGCCTCTCTTGTGTCGTGTTGATTCTTGAGCTGGACTGTTTACATTGAGTTGTAATTTCTGTCACTGCTGTGATTGAAAGGGAATTGAGAAGGGTCTCATACTTAGGAGAGTCTTAGGTAGAAATTAAGCACGGGTAGTGGTTAAGTGATAAGTTGTAAACCGGAGGTTGTTTAGCTTAGAATTAATACTATCTAGTGGATTTCATTCTTGCCTTAGTAGCCCCCAGACGTAGGTGTTGTTGTTCACCGAACTGGGTTAACAATTATTGTGTGTTTGTTTACTTTTTGCAATTTGTATCATGTTCCTTATTGTTATTGTGTTTGAAGCAGAGATCAAGTGTCTCGACATCTCTCAGGACATTTGAGATCTGCTACTAAAATTTCATTAAATATCCAAAACAACCCAACATGGTGAGATATGTGGTACATACCTAGTTAATCATTTGGTCAGGAGTTTGATCCCTTATTTGTATGTGTGGAAAAACGTATACTAACAGATATTAACCCCTTGAATTTATCTCAGTTACCTCAAAAGACTAATCTCCATATGTGGGGGATACCTTGGTTTGCCAAAGAGTAATCCGAAATTGGGCATTTAGGACACGCATATACATATTGGAACAGTTTTCTTAAAAATAAAGGGGTAACTGCCTAAAATTTAGGAATTGTATTTGTTACCCTAAGTTGATAAGGGAACTCTGTTTTGTTTTCCCTTCTTATATTACTTAGATGCAATGACTCATGGGTCTACTCTGACTGCAAAAGAGCGGAGTTTACAACTAAAATACCCACACAATTAACCACAAGAATATGAAAAATCAAGAGAGAGAGACCTGAACATGTCCTTTAGGAGGAGCAAGAATACTAATTCTAGTAGCAGGATTTGCATTAGATGGTTGGATTTTCCTCCTTTCCTCAAAAGTATTCTCTGCAACATAATTATGCCCAACTCTTTCAACAGGTTTTTGCCATTGTGAAGGACTTTTCTCTTCTAGCAGTCTAGAAGGTGATTTTGGCTTAGTGTCCCTTGCAACCCATCTCTTGTCTTCATACCTTTAAATATATGCAGTAATGAAAGCAAAGAGTCAGCTTCAGCAGGTGCACATAACAAGAAACATACATTTCAAACTGTACAAATATTAAATTAAATGAAACAGTATGGTTCAAGGTATCAACAAACATACTTTGCACGTATGAAGTTTTCAATACCAACTCTGTCATAATTTGGAGGTATTTCTGCTTCCCAATAACTATTTGCTTTCTCATTTCCCATAGCTTTTTAAAATAAAGCACAAAAATCCAAATAGAGTGAGAAGACTATATAACATATGTACACTAGCAAAACTCAAAAACCACAAGATCGCGGATATTTAGATTCATACATTGAATAAATGCAACCTGCTCTGGGAGCCAAGTGTCCAAAGTAGCTGAGCGAACCTGCAGAAAAACTATTAAGTAAGCATATAATAATAAAAACAGTGTGCTAGCAAGTTAAAATTTAGAGCAGCCCTTAACATGAGGATATAATAATACCAAAATATCCAACAGAGAGGACCAAGGAGCAATTTTTCAGTAGTTCCACAGAAAATCAAGATACATCAATAACAAATTTTAATTGAAAATTTTGTGAACCAAGTAGACGATCATGCTAACAATCTTTAAATCAAAATTTGAAAAGAAAAAGAAAGCACAATAACATTACATTGACAAACAGAGTCCCTACAATAGTGCTACATACTTGTAACAACAAAAGCAAGAGGCAAAATACCAGTTAGAGAATATTTAATCAAGAAGTGAAGTGACATGAGCATAAAAACAATACAGCATCTCAAAACAAAACATATAGTTTAGACTCTTAAATTAATATTCCGCGATACACAATTGGAGCAACATAGCCATATGGCAAATAAAATACTCAATATAATTGAATCCACAACGATTATATTTCTATGAGGTAACCATAGCACAAAAGTTTTCCCCTGTGACTTGTATTCTCATAGATTAAACTAAAACCTTTTTAAGCACCGGCATTACAAAATAAAATAAGAAGCATACAGAACCCAACCACTTTTACCATATGATTAACATAACATTATTACCTTTGAAACATGTACCCCGAGACTTCGATGTATTCCTGAACACTGCATGCAAATAAAGATGCCAAGATTGACACTAGCCCATCTTGGTCCTCTGCAAATCAAAATTTCCACACAAAAAAAAAATTAGAAAATAATCCTGAAAATGCTTAATGCAAAGATAATCCAATATTCTTGAGCCAAATAGTATCTCTCTTTTCTTGGTTTCCTACTGTCCAGAGAATGCAGTTTAGCAATTGAATAATTTTGATTACGCCAGATACATACTTAGCTTTGCAGTCAGCACATTCCCTATTCTCCGGTAATTTAAGAAGTCCTTCTAGTATCTGCATGTAATAAGTAAATAAATAAAAAAATAACATTTAACCAGAAGGAAAAAAAAAAGGAAAAGGGAGACAAAGTGTAACAAGTATCAAATGCAAGAACACTCAAAATAATTGAAAACAGTATGCTAAAAATTCAGGATCTTAAATAAATATATATAGCCAATGCATAAATTAAGATCTAGCAAATGCAAATTGATCAAGATTCGAATAGTGTAAAATAAACGATCCAAAATTATAACATTTTAGAAACAAATACAATCCAGGTATTCAGTAAATAAATTATTATTTTTTTCAAATCAAAGAAGATCTCTCAAATATCTTGTCCTTAGATCAACTTCTGTACGAATTTAGAAAGTTACAAGTTCAAATCAAAGAAGCTAATAATGATGGAAGAAATCACTTTTTAACTGATGACATAAGAAATCATAACAAGTTCGATTTCTCGATAAACGAATCGGACAATGATTGAATCGAATCTGAACAATTAAATAGGATTGATCTGAAGAGAATGGTGTATTCAGGAACAAAATACGAAGGCATCATCATTGACATTAAATAACAAATCATTAGGAACGAGAACCTTTTTGTGTTTGGCGTTGAGCTCCTTAGAAACGTTGGCTTTCTCGTTCATGGCTACACGAATGCGATGAGCAATGAATCAACGAGAGATCGAGCGAGAGAGAGGAAGACGACGGATATCGAAGATCAAATTGGTCTTTTAACGCACTTTTTCTCTCCTCTCTCTCTAGATTGCGAATTTTGTTTAATGTTTATTATAATAAATGAAGGAATGGCAGCAAAACAAAAGGATTACTATGATATTCTCCTAATGTTACTACGCCCTCCCTCCTCCGTTTTTTTTAAGTATGACTTTTTATAAAATAAACGAGTAAGAAACCATTCAATACAATATAAAATATATATTGATATGATATAAAATATATTTATATATGTATTTAAATTTGAAATCAATAATATAAAAAAAAAAGACGTCGTGGAAAATTCAAATTTACTCTAATCTAAAATTTTATTATGTCATCAAATTGAGGACAAATATCATTCAAAGTTTATTTTATTAAATCAAGTTTGCTTTGTAACCAACTCAGTTGGTCAAGTTAGCCATATTTTTATATGTTTTGCTTTTTGTTTAACTTTTTTTTTTTTCAAAACCAATCGAAAACTTGTGACAAAATTTGATGTCGTGTCACCCATTTTCTTTTTCTCATATCACATCTCAGAGTTTCACTTTTCCACTCAGCTTCTTCTCTCTTCTTCTTCCACAGTACTTTTCCTCTCCTTCTATTTTCTCCTTCTTCCTCCTCTTTTATTCATCTTCTTTCTCCTTCTTCTTCGTTTTTCGTCCTCTTCTCGAAAATGCTATTTTGTTTTTACCTAAGATTGTTGGTGTTGCAGGAATGAGGAAGATGGCGACGGTTATGACGTTTCCGGCGATTTTACAACGATATGCGATATCTCGGTGGTGGATCTTGGTAAAAAAAGGGGACTTGAGGTATGGATCTGAAACATTGAGTTTTGAATGTTCTTCTACAACTCCTCCTAACAGTCGTAACAATGAATTTGGGTTTTAAAAAATTATCCAATTTGACCGAATTTTAACCGTAAACTTAAATTTGATCTTGTATGTTATTTTGTATGTAAAAGCTTATTTTAGTGTGTTTAAAAAACTCAAACCGTTGGAACACACGGCTGGAGCTCCTTGTCAATCGTTGATGAGTTATGCAAATTTCGTCTTCGAAATCAATGATGACCCTTTTGTTTAAAATGCTCCATAGACAAATACAGTTACACATAATATAATATAGATATAGGGATTGTATTTGATTTTCTTATAACTCTAATGAAAAATGTTAATTGTTGATCTTCATGACAAAGAAAATGAGTTAACTTTGATGTGCATTTTTCATTCATGGTTGAACTATTTCTTGAGTTTTCATTCCCCAAAACAGTACTTAACTTAGAAACTAAGTTATTACTGTTGTCTGAAAACTCTGAATTATTTAGACACTGCATTAAAGAGAATAAATAATTTAAAATAAATAGGTTATTATGTTAAAATTGACTTAGGCTTGGCTGAAAATAATTGCTCACACTTAAATTGTATAGTAATGGATCAAATGGTGGCTTATTCATGAGAACTTTTCTTGAAGTTTTTATAAAAGTTAAACCAACAATATTATACGGATAACTCAAATCACTCATTAGAAATGCTTCTCATTCATGTGAGGATTCTAAAATCCTTTGAGATTGAGACAGTGGCATTAATCTTTATCTCTCTTATTTATAGGAACATAGTATTCATATTATTTTGGTATGAAATATGAGTTATATATTATATGCTTTTTGCTCATAATTGTACACTAATCTTTCTCTTTCTATCATCTGTATTTATTTAACAACTATATGTTTGCTGCATTAACAACTATTGTTAAGGTGACTACATGTAACTGCACATAGGATTGTATTTCTGATAAAGTGACTTAATTAACTTAATAATATAAAATTTTCTTGTGTTTAGTTTCTATTAGTTCCTCAAATATATGAAATATTGTTATCCAATGATGTAGTGATACTATTGCAAAGGAAACTTCTTCTGACATATTTATGTTTCTTCTTCTGACATATCTAAGTAAACTTCTGGGGTTGTTCATGGGGGGTCAAAACCATGTTCATGTGATTGTTTTGGAAAACATATTATTGCAAATACTGCTGCTAAAGTTGATCCTGTTGTTGTTGATATTTCAGTTTCATGTTTTTTTGTTTCAAGATTGATTAGAATAATTTGTTATGTTTAAGTGTTAAACTGATTTTCCTCCTTAACTTTTCTGGGCAGCTTTACTTTAAGATCCTGGCTTGTGGAATTCGACATTCACCTTGAAAGATATTGATGGTGAGGTACTTGCTCAAGTATATCAAGATTAGAATGGCTTTGACTTTGAGGTTGATTTTTCACATTCACTTGATTAGTTAAGTTATAATGCATTATAAATTTGATATTTCTATAATGTCATTTTTTTCATGGATTTTATTGTATCATTGACATCTTTGTTGTTGTTGTGTTATATGTATATAAATAACAATTATCTTTTATTCTAATCTCTTAACAATGTTTTCTTGCTTATAGACAACGTGGATCTTTGCTCTGCTGGTAGAAAATACTACCGAGTGTGTGAAGGTAGAAAAACACTTAGAAGGGGGGGTTGAATAAGGGGTTTTCAAAAACAACTATAACAATAGTAAATAACAAGTTATTTTTATCCTGGTTCGTTTGAACTCAAACTACTCTAGTCCACCCGGCCAAGGTGATTTCGCCTCTCTCAAACGAGGACTTAATCCACTAAATCAAAATTGATTACAGTGATTTCCACTAAGACAACTGTCTTAGTCATCTCAAGAACTCTGACCACAATTTGGTCTCTCAAGGAACTTTTTTACAACTGTAAAAAATACAATGTGTTTAAAGTTGCTTCTAAAAAGCTATTATCACAACTGTGATATTTACACAAATGAAGAACAAATAAAACTTAAGAGTTTTATGTAGAAACGTTGTTGATGAACTTTTAGTTTATCTTTGAATGAGTTTCTACATTTGTTTCTTGGAATTCTCTTGAATGTGCTTAGAGTTTGTTTCTCTTTGAAATCTTGTAGCAAAAGTTGTTCTCAAGGTTGTTTCCAAAGTTGTACTTGAAGTGTTGAGAGAAACTTCTTTATATAGTCCACTTTCTCAAATACCGTGTAGAAGAAAATACTGTAGGATGTAGACATTTACGCCTTGATTTGACATTCCCTTTTTGCCATACTTCCTGTGTCATATACGAGTGAGAAATAGTACCGTTGGTAAACTTTGGTTTAGCAACGTCTCTTTCTTGGACAATAATCTTCCAAATATTAATATTACGGTTTCAACTGATCCTCTGATGATGTACTTTGTTCTTCTGCATCAGAGTTGCTCTATCCAGAGTTTTTCAGCAAAGTGCTTTAGCGTGAATGATCAGAGTTGACTTGATTCTCAGAGCCTCTGTAGGTGCAGCGTTGAATTCTCAGAGTCTTCTGAATGACTGAATCTTTTATACTCTGACTCAGAGTCTTCAGTAGGCATTGCTTCAGAGTCTTCAGCAAGCAGCGCTTCAGAGTCTTCAGCAAGCAGCGCTTCAGATTTTTGCATTAAACTAACGTTTAGAGGAATTTTTGCTTCCAGAGGATTATAAATTTTGATATCTGAAACAAAAACACTTGAACAAAATTAGAGTATATATTTCCTTAATACAAAATTTCATTAATGTTATCATCAAAACATTGAGATATATTAAGAACCAATTTGTGTTCTAACAATCTCCCCCTTTTTTATGATGACAAAAACTATATGAAATTTTGTCCAGAGCATTAAAAAAAATATCTCTCCCCCTGAGATTATGAATCTCCCCTTGAAATGAATACTGCAGAAAAAATAAATACTTCCCTTTCAGCACAAGTATTCTTTCCAGAGTCAGAGTTTAGCTTTGTAGATTTTCTCAGACCTTGTTCAGAGTTTCCATTTTCTCAGACTTTGTTCAGAGTTAATTCTAAAGATATTATCAGTTGAGAAGTCTTTAGCTCTGAAACACTTAAAAACACTTAATTCAACATTAGTTATATTTTACCATGTATGAATTACCATTTTGTATTTGTTTATATGAATATCAAAATTTCCATTTTCTCCCCCTTTTTGTCATATCAAAAAGTGATTTTATTAAAAAAAACATTTACGACAAAAATTATCAGAGCGAGAGAAAAATAATATCAGAGCACACAAAAAATAATATCAGAGAAATAGATAACAGATAAGTAGAAGAAAAAATAGACAGACGCATTCATTAAACAAGTTCAGAAGAAAATACAAACAAGACAAACATAGATGTGCAAGACAGAATACAAACTAAGAAGGACTAGAGGCTAAAATCTTCAGAAGCTCAGCTATCTCAGAAGTTTGTGCCTCTTGTTTAGCCATCCAAGTCTTAATCTCAGACGTTGATTCATCTTGCTTGGCCATCCAAGTCTTGATCTCCTTTGTAGTCTTCTCTTGTTTAATCATCCAGGTTTTGATCTCAGATGTAGCAGCCTCTTGATGAGCAAGCTTTTCCTTAACTTCTTCAGAAACCTTTACTTCCTCAGAAGCTTTGTCCAAAGCTGTTAGTTCTGGAATTTTTTTTGAAACAGAAGCATCCTCTAAGATCACTGAATCAGATGCATTATGTACTATCATACCAGAAGGCTGATCAGGGAGAGGAGCATCTAGAGAAATTTCTTCAGCAGATTTCTCAGAAGGTGTGTCTTCCAAACACGGAATAGGAGTTCTGCTGACACTTAGCATAGTAATTTTCAGAGCTTCAGAAAACCTTTCTTGTGCATCTTCAGAGCATGATTCCTTCAGATTCAAAGTTACTGAATCAATTTTTTTCTGAAAGAATCCCAAATCTCTTCAGAAGCTTTAGGATTCATGTTGTGAAGGCACTTCTCCTTAACATTAGCAAACCATAGCCTTGTCTCTGTTTCAAAACTAGATAACATAGTCCTAACATCTGGTCTATATTTTGGTTTTGGTTTAAGAAAGGCTTCTACAAAAGATTTCCTAAGGGTGTAAGTGAATGAAGGTTCAGCAGATGAAGGTTTAGCTTGAGGGTGATGTCGCTACTCGAAAAATGCATCGTGCAACGACGGGGAGGCGAAAAGATAGACAGAAGATTCGCCACCGAACTTTATTTATCCCATGAGGGGAAAGGAAAATATCGAGAAAACCTTAAGAAAGAAATGGATAAGATAGTCTCGCGACCAAGAACGGGTTCAGAAGCCACTTATGCGAGGGGAAGGTATTAGCACCCCTCGCATCCATCGTACTCAATGGGAACCATTTGTTTGTCGATGTGTGATCATATTTGCTAAAATATTATGCTATAAAAGAGTTTTATAGGGGTAAAGAGAAGGGTTTAAAAACAGGGAAAAAGGAGATAACAAGGATGAAAGGAGAAAGAACAGACTCGGTAGGACTTTGTGGTCCTAGGCCTACGTATTCTCAACAGATATGAGAAAGTCAGAGTCCACGTAGTTCGGGGAACTATAGATATAGGGGGGAATGTGCTCGACAAGGATTGTGGCCCTTGTGCCTACGTATCTTTACTTGAAGAAGTAAAGAATCAGAGCAGCCGTAGTTCAGCCTACAGTTTGCGGATGAGTTCTGGTAGACGCTGCTATCGTGCGCATTCTAACATTTTAGGTGTTTTGCTGCTCGCATGTGAGGAGACTTAAGCGTTACCTGTTTGCAGTAGAACGGGCGTAGCATGCCTTTCTGGGAAAGGGTGGAAAAGAGAAAAGGGTGTTCGCTATGATTGTCGCAATCCTATGCCTACGTATTCTCAACATGCAAGAGAAATCAGAGCAACATAGTTCGTGGTACTACAGATAACTTGTGTTTTTGTGGATGATGCTATCGTGCGTATTCTAACAGTTTAGGTGTATTGCTTCTCGCATGTGAGGAGACTTATGCGTTACCTGTTTGCGGTAGAATGGACGTAACATATCCTTTTTGAAAGACTGGTTTTTGCCATGCGAGGCAAGGTGTCACGTTTGATTTGTGGGACTATTTTTAGGGATGAAATATGTCATCGGATAGTAACCCCTTACGGGTATTACCCAATTCTTTATCTCAAAATTTTTGTTATGAAATGGTGTGGCGAACGTAGCATCTTCGTATTGAAAGACGAGTATCAAGACCACACACACTACAGTGAGTATCTTGACACTCAGAGATGAATAAGTCTACACTCAATCCTCTCTCTTTAGTTCAACACAAAGAGAACTTCATTCTCTTATTAAGGATGTTTTTGGTTTTGAATGGTAAGTGCTTTTGCGATTGTAAACCCTATGGTAAATGTCAAGCACTCGACATAGGAGAAGGCCTACGCCTAACCACTCCACGACCATTCAAGTTTTTGTTGTAAAAAAGAGTTTGAAAAAGCACTCAGTACAGGACCGAGGTTTTAGGTGAGAAAGGTTACGAAAGGAAGTTGCGAAAGTGAGAGGTGGTGAATAAAGGCGCGTCTTCGTATTGAAAGACGAGTATCGAGACCACCCACACTACAGTGAATATCCTGATACTCAGAGAGGAAGAAGTCTACACTCAATCCTCTCTCTTTAGTTCAATACATAGAGAACTCGATTCTTTTATTAAAGATGTTTTGAAAATGCACTCGGTACGGGACCGAAGTTTTAAGAGAAAAATGGTGTTGAAAATGTACTTGGTGCGAGACCGAGGTTTTATGAGAGAAGGTTTGAAAATGTACTCGGTACGGGGCCGAGGTTTTAGGAGAGAGGGTGTGGAGAATACAAGCATCTTCGTATTGAAAGACGAGTATCAAGACCACCCACACTACAGTGAATATCCCGACACTCGGAGAGGAAGAAAGTCTACACATAATCCCCTCTTTTTAGTTCAATACAAAGAGAAATCGATTTTTATTGAAAGTGTTTTGAAGATGCACTCGGTATGGGACTGAGGTTTTTAGGAAGAAAGGTTTGAAAATAGACTCGGTACGGGGCCGAGGTTTTTAGAGAAAAATGGCTTGAAAATGTACTCGGTACGGGGCCGAGGTTTTTAGGAGGAGAGGTATGGAGGACGTGGATGAAAGCGTCTTCGTATTGAAACACAAGTATCAAAACCACCCACACTACAGTGAGCATTTCGACACTCGGCGAGGAAGAAGACTACACTTAATCCTCTCTGTTTAATTCAATACAAAGAGAATTTGATTTTTGATTTTCTTATTGAAGAGATTTGAAAAATGGGCTCGGTACAGGACCGAGGTTTTGGGAAGAAACTGGTTTGAAAATGCACTCGGTGTGACC